ATCTCCAAGGTCCCTTCCAATCCAACCATTCTATGATTCTGTGATCTCCAAGGTCCCTTCCAATCCAACCATTCTATGGTTCTGTGTTTCCCTATCATTTCTCCACTAGTGTTTTGCATTTCGCTGCTCAGATATGACAGTCTCCACTTAAATGTATTGTTCTCTATAAGAGAGTTAAAAGGCCACAGTAAAACAAGACACCTGGAAGTCTACCTCTTCATCCACTCATCCATCCTCTCATCTCTGCCTAATACACATTATGTTGTTCCATGAATGCCCCCCATTAGCACATCGATTTATTCTCCCCATTTGCCCCACGAAACTCATCAAAATGTTCCCAAATACCTTACATTTCATGTTGTGTTTTATTGGTTTTGTTTTTTTTTTTTTTAACCTTGCATTTCTATGTGTATGCACCTATCTCCATTAGTCTCATGGGCAGGGAGGGACCCAGCACCTCACCAGCACTGCACTTCAAAGCAGCACACCGGCATCAAACAGGAGCCGGGGCTTTCCTCACCCAAGCTGGCACTTCAGCAATGTTTGCAGTTGCACTCACAGCAAGTCCTGACCACTGCCTCTGTTTGCAAAGCCCGCCCTGAGGCCAGTGCCAGGCGTTGGGAGCATTGCTGGCATTCCTGGGGAGCAGAGGGGTGATCTCCCCCTTGCAGAGGGCATCACCATGGAGCTGCTGCATGTTGCAAGCTACAGCACTTGAAAGCCCCAGCACCCCACCAAGCCTTATGGAAGCATGCTGCATAGGAAAACATACGATCCAGTGCAACATCTTCTGTGGCATGCACACCAATTGCGTGCATCAGAGAATATTTTCACAGCACTGTCTTTCCTTCCATTTATTTTAAGGAACAGAGTGTGGTTTCCTCTTGCTGCATTTCTCATATGACGCTTTAAAAATAAAACCTGAACCAATGTCAAACCAAACATCTTCTTGCCCCAAAAATAAACAAAAAAGAGCTGCTTTTATGGCTAAGCTGTCAGGAAGGAGAACACACGTCCCTCTGTGGCCGCGCTCACCCAGCGAAAAAACAAAACAGCCTGAGTTTGGCATTGGCTGGCAGTTATTGGCAGTGACTTGCAGAGATGTGCAGTGATGGGCAGAGATGTGCAGTGACTGGCAGTGCCTTGCAGTGATGTGCAGTGATGGGCAGCCCATCCCTTCTGCTGCTTCTCGGAAACGCACACTGCCCCAAGCACGGCACGCTCAGATTTACGCGCAGAGCTGGGCAACCTTAACAGCAGCAGAGCAGGAGCATAAATCTGCAGCCAGCTTCAGTCCTCAGTATTTTGAGTGCCGCAGCATAAGAATGAGGCTCCGTGGCAAAAATAGGGCCGTGTCCTTCTGCACAAGGAGGGAGTTCCGAGGGCGCAGCTATCAGTAACCATCCGAACCATTTGCCTGTGACAGCCTTAGGAGAGCACAGAGGAGACGCCGGGGGTCACTTAGGAGATGGGAAGGATGCTTTGCTCTCCTGCCCATCCAAAAGGCACATGGATGGTGCGGATCCCCTGGACACGTATAATTATGAGGAGCCTGCAATGAGAAACTGCTGTGAATGGCCAGCCCTAAAAGAGACAACTCCTGCCATAAAGCAGAATGGGAGGAGAAAAGGAAAACGGCCGTGCTCTGCCCTGCTTTGCTACACAGGCAGACGGGACCGGTATTTCTCCCCTGAAACTTTAATGGGGAGAACATGATTCTGCTGCAAGCGTGTTTTATATGCCTGGTGATTAAAGAGGAAGGCAAGAACGGAATTTATAGAATTGTGGAATACAGAGGACAGCTTCCTGGCTGCAGTGCTCCTTTATTTTCCATTGATTCCTTTTCTTTCTTCTTCTTCTTTTTGCTTCCAGGCTTGTGAGAAGGTGATGGATGGGCAGTGGTGGGTGGAGGCAGAACTCCTTTTGTGCTCACAGGGCAGTGCTGCATCACAGCCCACAGTGGCTGCACAGAAAGAGGTGTGCAGTGCATCCTTGTGCTCCCTGCGGTGCTCCCTTGCTTTGCAGCCATCTCAGCCCCCCACCCCTGCAGGCATTGCTATGGAACTGACCGCTCCGGGGCACATTAAACACCTTGTCACAATCATGTGCTTTTCAGGGTCACCCGCTCTTCTTTCTGCCTCTATAGAAGGAAGGTCTCTTGGCGTGAAATTCTCCAGACTGTTATTTTTTGTCACCTCAGGGCCAATCTGACAAACTCATCTCTCTGCAGAGGCTGTCAGCGGTAGTGTCACTGGTACCGCTGGTTCCTGCGACGTGGAATTGTGCCCACCAAGACTTGGACCAAACTCAGTGCCCATTTCATGTCAGTCACCAACCAGCCCGCACTTGGCAAAAAATGCAAGCCCATCTCAGCTATGCTGCATGACTTATGGCTGTGGGCCATTTTCCTCCCAGCCTCCGAGCATCCTCAATGTTAAATCTTGCTCTTCTTTCACTCGGCTTTGCCATGACAACACAATCACTTGGCTCCCCGTGCCACATGCTCTTTATCAGGGATGTGTCAGTGGAAAAATGAACTCTGCAGCCTGGCAAGATCAGCCAAAGGGGAGCAGTTCTCCATCAAACCAAGTGCTCTTGCTCTTTTTTAGCTCATATTCACACTATGGGAGGAATCTGAGTCCTTGTGAAATCACTGTGACTGCTTACCTGCACTGGGGGTTATACCCATATTCTGCCCTCCGAGGGAACAGGCAATCAGAAATTTTCTTGCTTGGATAAATGCTGGGTGAGAGTTGTGTTTAACCTCCAGTTCCTGCCACTCTCTTACCTACTTATTCCTGTGTAAGGTTGTGCATGTGTACACACCTTTACTCAGAGCTGGATCTGAGCTGGATCTGCTCTCTGGAAAGAAGACTGGAGTAGATGTGGCACCTGAGGACACGGTCACTGGGCATGGTGAGAATGGGTTGGGGTCAGATTTGGGGATCTTAGTGGTCTTTTCCAATCTTAATGATTCTGTGACTCTATGGTCTTAGGACTGCTCGTCCCACCGATGTGTTCCCATCCACCCACAGTGATATGGAAACCCATTTTCTGATCTCACAAAACTATAGCTCTGCAGCAATTTTTATATCACAAAGTTCATAGAACCATAGCACAGTGTTGGGGTTGGAAGGGACCTCAAAGGTCACAGAACCATAGAAAGGTTGGGTTGGAAGGGAACCCAAAGATCATGGAGCAATAGAATGGTGGGGCTGGAAGGGAACCCAAAGATCATGGAGCAATAG